CTGAGCTAGCATGGCTCAGCTTGGAAACCTCTCCCTTTTCCCTCAGCATGGCTGGCTCAGGAATTCTGGGAGTTGAAGTCCATGCATCATAAAAGAGCCAAGGTTGCCTACCCCTGCCTTAAAGCAACAAAAGGGAACAGGATTTGCATTCGGTGACCAAAAGGTGACCAAAGCTCCAATTCAGATTTCCCTGCATGGGAGATGCATGGAAGAAAGGGAGATTTAACGTCTGAAGACAGCCACGTGCTGCCATGAATGTGAGCTCTGAAGTGTTTTTGGCTCCTGCAATATTTCCATTGCTTAGGCTACAGGAGCCCATAGGGAACAAATGGGAGGGACAAAAACAGTGCAAATCGGGACAGTGAGATGCCAACGGCATTCAGAGCAGTGCTTGTGATTGAAAATCCAGGCCTCAAGAGGACATAGGAGCAGCAGCTGTATCAGAGAGCCACTGTGCAAGGAATTCAGACTAGCTATCAGGAGCAGAAAAGAGAATGTGAAGGGTATTTTCAGAACTACAGGAGATTTATAAATGCCATACTATTTTCTATGTTTTTCTTATCTTTGTCTTTCTGTGTATAAACACAAAATAATATGGCAAGGAGATATCTTCTCTCGGTTGGAAAATACCAGCTATATTTTCATTTCTGAGATATATATATGCCAACACAGAGAGACACAAACACATAAACCTAAGAGAACCGAGTTTCTCTGAATTTATTTTTGATATTAGTTTTCCACTCTAAATTCATGGAAGCCCAGTCCTAACCCTAGGTGGATTTCCATCCCAGTAGAATTTTCCCATTTATTTATCCACAAAATGAAAATAAGGAGGCCTGGAAATGTTAAGAGCCTCCTAACCATAGCGAGTGTCTCCGAACACATTGGTGATATTTGTTTTCATCTCTGAATTCACAGAAGACTAACCCTAAGGGGAAATGTATTTGTATGAGCTCTCCTAAGCATAGTGTGCCACTATGAATTTTTTTGTGAAATTAGTTTCCAGTTCTGAATTCAATGCACACACCACACACACAGGTGCTTACAGAAAACATAGAACTTCCATATATACTAAAGAGCTATCCAAGTCTTCAAAACAGATGGGGTGAAAGGAATGGCCAGTATCTCTCCCGTTATTTTCAATTATAGAATTTTATTTGGATTTTTCTCTTTCGTTTGTGATTTTGAAACAGCTAATTAACTTTACTTTATGGCAGTACAAATTTTCACAGTGCATCACATTTTTCACAAAGGAGCTATCATGTTTCTTTCAGTTCTTCTGATACTGCAAATCAAATCATTGGATTCTTTTTGTTTACAAATTCTTTAATTACCCTTGTCCATCACATTTCAATCCAAATCTTGGGATAAATGCTTAATGCTACTACTACTTCGTACATGTCCTCATTTGTAGAGAATTTTCTGTTTTGTTATTCACAAAATAATTGTCAGATAAGTGTCAGATAAAAGTGAAACAGATTATTTTTCAATTTTTTGCATATGCATTTTGAAGATAATTATGCTAAATCCATATCAGTATGTTATACAACATGCAACATTTATTAGCTTTTTCCTATTTGGCAAATACTAATGAGCTGTTAAGGAATCCTGCCTGTGGCTTTATTTAAAAACAAATATATAACTGATTTGGGAGTTTATGTTGTAACAGGAGAAACCTGCTAATTTCTGTGATATAATGCAAAAGCCATCACAACCAATAAAATGAAACTGTTAGAAATCTGAGTATGGCAGCAGTGCACCCTAGTGGTAAAATGTTTCCAAAATGCAAACAGCAAAATGTGAGTATTCTACAGTAATAATAATCCATGGCCATGTTTTTCCCTCAGAACTCTTCCCATGTTTATAAACTATGGACAACCCTCAAAGAAGTTTTTATATGGGTTTTACGTATCAATATTTACTATATTAAAAATTAAAATTGACACACTCAGTGCCACTAGCATTTCTCGATTGGGATTGCTTGATGGGATTTTAATATTGTATTATTTTTCAACATAAGCAGGCAAATAATTTGCATTTGTGATGGAATGACTCTGGCTGGTTTATAAGATTAAAAACATACACATCCTCCCACATCCAGGGCATAACTTCTCTGCTAGAATTTGGTGAGGTAGGCAAAAACTGCCTAGAAGAAAGGCAGTTCTGCAATTAGGAGGGAACAACATGAAAACTATAGTACAACCTACAATATGCTTTTCAGGGGAAAAAAAACCCTGAGTACTTAACTAGGTCCTCAAATCCATCTATTTTCTGGCCTTCAAGAATTTTACAAGAATACACTTGGACATTAAATGTCCCTCACTGTATGCATCTCGTGTGTCCAAATTTCATATACTTTGGAATTGGTCACTCTTGCTGAGAGACTTCTGTAAACATAATACCGGTAATAGCCTATTTACAATAGAGGGCTCAGTTAGAGCTAGATCTTAACTTTTAAGTCACAACTGCGTTCCAACTTTGTCTCTATTTACATGTGAACTTGCCTGGATATTGAGATCATCCCCACTGGATCACTTTAAAGAATTTGAAGCAGAAAATAGAAATAAATGGACAACTCTTGCAATGAAGCTGTAAACACAGTAAAGCCTTTCAAGAATCTGCATTGAGAATAGTTATGGACATATTTATAAACTATCTGGAATTTTAAGTTTGAGATGGGTTAAGTTTGCTGATGACTGCATCTTATTTAGGGTATTTAAAAATAGGGGTTAGAAAGAATTCCAAAAGATCTGTTAGAGTGGAAAAATGTGCAATACAATTTAAAATATAGCTCTATCAAAGCAGGTGTAAAAGTGATGTGCATTGTGGAAAGGCAACCCTAACATTCATGTAAACTGCTGAGATCAGAGTAAATAGAGGCCTTGAGAACTGCATGGATTCTTGTGAAAATATCAAGCCAGTTTGTCGCAGCTATGAAAAAAAATGATTTCCTCACTAGGGATCATTAGAAATGGGATCAAAACTGTTCCCCAGATTCAGATGTGAATGCATGACATGTTCATACTCAAATCAGGAAAAAAAATGGGAAGTAGAAGTGTTTAATAATCTGCTCTGAGATCCCGAAGAATATGCTGGATATAAAATGTAAAATTAACATTTATTTAAAAATATGCTTAGATCTCATCCTAACGCAGAGGGCCTTTCAGGATTAAATAAACCACAATCCAGAAAAACTTTGATGTCACAATAAACAAGCTTTATGATATCTCCAGGTTCTTTGTGGGGGTCTATTGAGATGCTGTCATCCAGGTCATAGCTGTCCCAAAGGGGCTGTTTCACGAGGCAACTGGACTTTGTTTTTCTTTGAAGAGGTTTCACTTCTCATCCAAGCTTCTTCAGTTTTGACTGGATGGTGGGGAAATGGAAGGATTTATATTCCTTGCAAATAGCTGGTCATTTGCATTCTTCAATGTCTTCAAAGAAAAACAAGAAAGCCCAGTTGCCTATTGAAAAAGCACCTTTGGGACATCCATGACCTGGATTACTGAGAATCTCCATATGCATTTAGCTATGCACTTTGCGATGAACACCTTTGAATGATGCAGGAATATAAACGGATCTCCAGAAAACATTACAGACTACCGGAATCATTTACACTTCAGTTTAAGATGGAGGCAACACAAACTCATCCCCAACAGCCTGCGCCTGTCTTCAACAGTGAAGAGACACAGGGCAGCAAACATCCTGCAGAAAGCACAGCACCACAACAGTCCTTTCAGCAGTTTCAAGAAGGCTCCACACCCATTTGCACTGGAGGTTCGTTCTCCAAGCTTGTGGGTTGGTTTCCAAACATTTTGTTACCAGGCCAGGTAACATTTTCAGTGGCATTTAGGGGATGTCAGTGTCAGTGTTCTTCTGTTTATAAGGGCTTCAGGTGTGGGTGTGTCAAGTGAGGGTCTTGTGATGGGTCAGGTGTGAGTCAAGACCCATCACAAGACCCATCCCAAGCCTCTCACTGATGACTCACATCAGTGAGAGGCTTGTGATGGGTCTTGTGATGGGTCTTGACTCACACCTGACCCATCACAAGACCCTCACTTGACACACCCACACCTGAAGCCCTTATATAACAGAACACTGACACTGACATCCCCTAAACCAGGGGTAGTCAACCTTAGCTCTTTTATGACTCGTGGACTTCAATTCCCAGAATTCCTAAGCTAGCTTAGCTGGCTCAGGAATTCTGGGAGTTGAAGTCCACGAGTCATAAAAGAGCCAAGGTTGACTACCCCTGCCCTAAACTCTGCTGAAGATATTTCCTAGCCTGGTAACGAAACGTTTGGAAACCAACCCACAAGCTTGGAGAAAACCCTCACCCTTATCCTACACTGGAGCTACAGACATTCACAACTATTGCAAACCCATTTGCAGTACTCAGATGACCCTGAGGACACAGATATACCTCCAAATGGCCTCGGCGACTCTTTAAAAAGAATGCAAATGACCAGCTGTCTGCAAAGAATATAAATCCTTCCATTCCCCACCATCCAGTCAATACTTTGTGGGCTTTTTTTTTTTTTTTTGCAACGTATTAACAGAGCTATTTGCCCAACCCGCCGTGTCAATCTTAAAGAACATGCCCTACTCTAAAAGGAGAGCCTGCCGAAAACGAAGTAACCATAGTCCTACAGCAAGCTCCTCCTTTACAAGGTCCGCCTTCCAGGTTTGCAGACGACTAAAGGGCGCTCTTAGCGTGAAACCCATCCCAGAACAATCTTAGTGACTGAATGAGCTAGGGCAGTGTTTCTCAACCTTGACAATTTTAAGGCATGTGGACTTCAACTCCCAGAATTCCACAGCCAGCAATGCTGGCTGTGGAATTCTGGGAGTTGAAGTCCACATGCCTTAAAATTGTCAAGGTTGAGAAACACTGAGCTAGGGCACATGCCGGGAGTTTTTGGAGTCGCGCGAGAGAAAGCGAGACTTCCATCCCACTTGGAGGAAATAGAGATCCGTTTTGCGCATGCGTAACTTGATTTCTACTGCTTTTGCGGCGCTTCGCAATGCGGGTAAGTTGTTGGCCTCTTGCGGGATCCAGCGTAATCCTTCGCGGAGTCTGTTTCTAAGAGGGCGCGGGGCCCGAGGTTCTTGTCCCGTAAGGATGGGCGATGGGGAAGGAACGCAGAGGGGATGAATTGGTTGAGTTGGTCCGTCTGCCGCTTTTTTATTTTAAGGTTTCGTTTCTAGTAGCTGGAAAAAGTTGGGCACGCGGGCGTTTTCTGGTGGTGCATGATGCGGTCAGGGTAGCAGATCTAGACTGCAAAGATCCCGACGATCATTAGACGGCAGTAGCCCAAAGGTGATGAAATGCTCTTTCCTGCTGCTGCTTTGTGGTCGCCCTGGTTCGTGGAGGCCCGATCTAGTAGCCCACTGGTCTCCAAAAGCGAAATGGAGGGCAGACTTTTCTATTAGTAAAACGCAAACTTAATTGTTTCTGTAATTTGGAAAATCAACTGATTTATCTTTTTTATTCTGTAACTATGGACCTTCCTTTAATTGAGACCAGTATTTTGGGAAAGCTATCATTCCGCAAAGATTAAGGAAAAAGGGAGAGGATTACGCAGAACAATAGGTGACCGGCTTTTGTTCATTTTAGGAATAGTTTGATAATTTGTACACTTTGGTACATTGATATGTGGATTCTTTGGTCCAACTCATTCCCACCTCCTTGTGTGATAAGACTGCAATTCCATAATTTTTATGTACCTGAAAGGTGTTAATTTGGAAAAGCCTCGTTGAGAGGGCCTGTGTTCCCCAGCATGTCTTGGGTATCTATTCACAAGTATGAATAATATATAATTTATTTCCTAACATTATAGCACACAATACAGCATGGAAACATCTCAAGTCTCTGTAAGACTTGGAAGACATAATTCACCGTCACCTTGCATGCATAAGGTATGTTTAAAATTTCCCTAGGGATCAGTATAAGGATTTGTTTGCTGCTCAAAAGACAGATTTGGGTTGGTTTAGTAACTTTCATCAAAGTTATAAAGAACTGAGCTATTGATGATACAGAGTTATCCCTGTCTGAAAAGAGAAAGTTATTCTTTTTGTGGAATTGTGGATCTGAAGCTCAGTCCTGGAAAATTTAAAAGTAAATGTAAATATAAAGCTTTCTCTGATAATATATCTAATATGTCAATCCTCAGGTTGTAAAGTTGCTTTTATTTGCCATAGGAGTCAACCCAGGCAGGGATGCAGATGTCACATATCTTCATTGTAAGCTCTAATCCCAAGAAAATCCCCTTTTGGAGAAGAGGGTGTTAGTAATGCATCTGTTCTGATCCACATTCCAAGGTATGTGTGTTCTTGAATGCTCTTGAGCAGGGGTGTCAAACTCAATTTCATTGAGGGCTGCATCTTGGTTGCCATTGGGGGGGCCGAGTGGGTGTGGCTGGCACGGGCGTGGCCTACTGGGTGGGGTGTGGCTGGCACGGGTGTGGCCTACTGGGTGGGCGTGGCCAGCTCGATGTCACACACATCAGGAGCACCTGTGCGGGCCTGGATAGGACTGGGGCAAGCACCAGAGCATGGTCCACTGGAGGAGCCTGAGCCTCAGGCTGTGCATGGGGCCCCTGGACAGTGGCATGGACTGCCCAGAGCCCTGGGCACCAGAGGTCAAGCACCCAGCCCGGCCCTTGAGCTCCCACGGCACCAGTAACCCACAGCCCTGCCTAGCCTAGCTGCACTTCCCCAAGGGGGTGCCCAGCTGCACTTACCTCCTTCTCAATGCTGCTGCTGCTGTGCTCACTCTCCTTGGCCAGGTTGCTCATGGTGGGTGCAGGAGGACAAAGTGCGTGGGTCAGAGGGAGGCCCACTCCCTCTCCATGCGAGAAAACCTGGCTTTGTAACCAAAGCATCCTCAGAAATTGGATGGGAGACCACCAGGGGATGGCAAAAAGGTAGCAGGGCTGCTGGTGGCCAAGTGCTAAGGCAGGACTTCCCTCAGATCCTCCCTCCCTCTTATTCCAATCTCCTCCCTCCCTTCTCTCCTTTCTTTCTTCCTTTCCTTCCTTCTCTTTCTTTCCTTCTTTCTTTCCTTCCTCCCTTCCCTGCCTCTCTCCTTTTCATTCCCATCTCCTTCCTTCCCTTACTTTCTTCCTGTTTCCCTTCCCTCCCTCCTTCTCTCTGTGCCCAGGAAGGGATGAGGGGAGGGGGAGAGGTTGGCAGCACTTCTCTCAAAGAATAAGAGTTGGAAGAGAGGTCCTTAGTCCAAGCTCCTGCTCAAGCAGGGGACATATACCATTCCAGACAATGGAATATCCAATCTCTACTTAAAAGCCTCCAGTGATGGAGCATCCAGAACTTCTGAAGGCAGGCCTTTTCACTGGTTAGTTGTTTTAACAAGTCCTTAGTTCTAGGCTGGTTTTCTTCTTTATTAGTTTCCATCTATTATTTGCCTTCTGATGCTTTGGAAAATAGGTTGATTCCTTTTCTCTGTGGCAGCCCATCAAATATTGGAACACTGCTATCATGTCACCACTCCTAGTCCTTTTCACTAAGCTAGACATACCCAATTCCTACAAAATTTGTCATATGTTTTAGCCTCCAGCCCCCTAATCATCTATGTTTACAATCCATTTAGACCAAATATCCTCCTGGTTTGGTTTATAGAACAGTGGCCACAAGCAGAGCCTTCTCAGAGACAGCACCCCCATTATAGAACTTTATCCCAAGGAAAATATGAACAGTGCAACCCTCACCCCTTTAGAGGCAACTCCAAACACACTGTTCAACCAGGCATATGTAAAACAACAACACATTTTATGATCAAACAGCACTAAGTAAATTACTAATATTTTTCTTTCTTAAAATACACACTTTTAATATTGTTTTAAGCATTGCTAGTGATGCTTTACAATAGCTGTCTTTGAGGGTTTTCTTGTAAACCACCCTGGATTTCTCAGAAACTTAATTTCAAATTAGATATTGATTTAATAAATTAGACAGAAGAAACAAATGTTTAAATACATCTAAATCCCACAGAACTACTGCCTCCTAGGCGCATACTGCAGAGAAAATAAGGCATTGCATTTCTAGCCAGCATAGCCACAGGATGATGGGAACTGTATGTAGTCCATGACACCCAAAATATATTAGTTTGGGTAAGGCTGGATTAAATTATAAAAGAGCAGATGAAGGGAAGTATTTTTGTCTCCGACAAAATAATTGGGGGGGAGTTGACTGCCTTTTAATTTCAACTCACACCAATTCCTCTTAACTTCCCATTCAATCCAATCTATTATTGCCTGGATTTTAGGGAGGGGAGGATGCAAGAATAGACCACAAAGCTAATCTGCAAGTTTGCTTTCTCGCCTGCTTGCACACCACCTTCCCGTGTGTGTGTGTGTGTGTGTATGAGAGAGAGATCTCCTTTTTGTAAGTTTGCTTACTCTCCCCGTTCTCCACACTTTCACTTCCCTTCTCTCTCTCTCTCTCTCTCTCTCTCTCTCTCTCTCTCACTCACTCACTCACTCACTCACTCACTCACTCACTCACACAGGTTAAAAAAGAGAAGGAGGGGGAGAAAGGTGGAAGCTCTCCCTTTTTTGTAAAACCTCAGCTTCCTCTTCCCCTCCTGGCTCTCTGTCTCTCTCCCTCACATACACACACACACACACACACACACACACACACAGAGAGAGAGAGAGAGAGAAACCCTTCCTGCTTTCTCTTCCTTCTCACCCTTTCTGGCCTGGCAAAGCAGAGCCACACGAGAAGCCCAGCAAAGTGGGGCATGGCCGGGCGTGACGGGGTTAAGCTGAGAGGGGCAGGGTGGGCTGAGGCAAATGAGCTGCAGCTCTTGCTGCACATCACCAGCCCAAGTGCTCCAGGGCTGGGGCAGCAGGAAGCCGGTCCCTTGCCATTTCTGGGACAGCCCCGGGGGGCCAAATCTGGGCCCTCCCTGGGCCGCATCCAGCCCGGGGGCCTTGTGTTTGACATGTCTGCTCTTGAGGGCTGCAGTTATGAAAGTACGACACTGTTAACTGAGAATTCACCTAATAGCAGCAACTGGACTGCTGGAATGGTTATTGTAAGTCTGTGGCCATGTGACATCCTGCTTTACGACCATATGACTTAGTGAAGTTCTTGATCTCAGGTACTGTTGGTAAATGTCCTCACTTATTTGTACCTGCCTTAGTTTTTTGAGATAGCAATAGCACTTAGACTTATATACCACTTCACAGTGCTTTACAGCCCTCTCTAAACGGTTTACGGAGTCAACATATTGCCCCCAACAATCTGGGTCCTCATTTTACTGACCTTGGAAGGCTGAGTCAATCTTGAGCCGGTGAGACTCAAACTGCTAAACTGCTGGCAGCCGGTAGGCAGCAGAATTGGCCTGCGGTACTGCATTCTAACCACTGCGCCACCACGGCTCATAAGAGTTCTTATTTCTCCATTTGGATCTTAACTGCTTTTTCAGTTCTGTTGGCACTCTTTCACTCAAGCCTGTGATGTGATGTTATCCCTGTCTGAAAATTCAACAGTGAAGGAAAATCAGCATCAGCTGAGGCTATCCATGGAGTGGTCTTCTGTAGCAATTGTTTTGCAAATGATTAAATTGACTTCACGAGCTAGCTACAACTTAAATGCAGTAATTGTATTTTTCCTTTAGAAAAATGTCAGCATTTAATGGTAACAAAAACAGCCATCTCTGAAACTTCTCCTGGAAGCAGAATTCCATGTACACCTGCTGGGAATGGGACAGACACCTGGATGTGAGTAGCACTTTTGACATGGACTGGGTTTCGAAGATTCACTACACTAAATTGTGGTTGGCTACTTTGAGGTCTTACGAGAATTCAGACAATTGAATAATCCGGTTCATGGGTTAGCACGTGATGGTAACACAGCAATAGTGTCATATGATTGTACATTACCAGTCATTACAATAAAGGAAGACATTTATGCTTAGGGTCCTTCGCTCTACCTAACCCAGTGAAAATGTGGCATTAAATTCAATAAGGAAGGCTGCAATTATCTGTGTGTGAGCAGGATAACTCTAAAACCAGAGCCAAGCCAAATTTGGTGTCGGTGGAAGTAGCAGGCAAAAGAAAAATTGGCTTTAACAATAGATCCAGTCCAGCTAGGGGCTATGGAGAAAACCAAATGCATCCTGAGGGAAGAAGTCATTGGAAGCAGCAGCTTGGAATGTTGTCAACTCTTCCGTTCTAAGCCTTTCCCATCTTGGTCATGTGACCCAGAGTGGAACACATGTTTCCCAGAGCATCTGTTTGTGCACACGTTATTTGATTACAGGTAATTCTCGATTTACAACCATTCACTTTGACCTTTCGAAGTAATGACACTGAAAAAAGTGACTTATGACCATTTTTTACAGGACCATGGTAGCATCCGCGTGGTAACGTGGATCAAAATTCAGACACTTGGCAACTGGTTCACATTTTGTGACCTCCTGACCAAGTCAGTGGGGAAACTAGATTCACTTAACTGTGTAATTAATTTAACTGCCGTGATTCACTTAACAAATGTGGCAATAAAAGTAGTAAAATGGGGCAAAACTCACTTAACAAATGTCTCACTTAGCAGCATAAATTTTGGGCTCAATTGTGGTCGTAAGTTGAGGACTACTTGTCCATAGAAGCTCTCCATGCTTTTTCCTACCTTGTAATTCTTTCCATCCTAATGGGACATAGGAAATAAATGTTGTAAATAACAGGTGTCAAACTTGATCATGTCACGTGACGTATTGGGATGTTTTTTGCCTTTGCGGAGCTGGGATGGGCATGGCCTGCATCTGACCCATCCAGCCCGCAGGCTGCCAGTTTCACACCCCTGTTGTAAAGGGTCTTTCAAAGCTTGGTCTGTCAGTTGAATAACTCCAAAACAGGACAGGATCACTTTAGAAGTGGCAGTCAAAGCTAGCATCAGAAAAAACTGGGAATGGGCCAAATCTGGACAAGGTCTGTGGAGAAAAACATTCCAAAACCAAGTTTCCTCCAGTTTAGGTCTCCCTCTCAATTAAATGATCAAGGTCAAAATTCATGCTGCCAGTCCTGTTCTTCCCCATGCACGTATACAGGCAAAACATGGTGTAATACAAGGGGAGTACACATACATAATCCAGAGGAAGTATTTAGGTAGCCATTTGACTCAAAGAGAGAGACAACTACCCCAGTCTGAGGCCAGTGCAACATGATAACAATCTGCCAGTACCGAGCGCCCCCCACCCCACCCCCGAGAAATGAAGCTTAGATGAAACAGACGGAGATGCTGCAGACAGTGATAATGATCCAGATTTTGAACTGGGTATGTCTGACGTGCGTCATCTC